AGGGTCTCTGTGGACTGAGCAGTTAGGAAGGGGTGGAGAGAGGAGGGTTTTCCTCTTTGACGAAAAGGAAAACCAGGAGAAAAAGGAGCAAAGTGCCAATGGCGAGTTCCCAGCTTTGCTGGAGGGGTGAGGGTGGGGGCATGGGGGATGAGCACAAGAGGGTCCCTCTGAAAGACTAGCAGGGTGGACACCCACATGCCCTCCCAAGAAAAGAGCGACGATGCCCCTCTCAGCAAGGTCCAGGCTGCCCTGGGGATCATCACCCCACCGGGACTGATCCATTTGGGGACCAGGGTATACAAGGGCTTGCTGGAAGTGAGGTGGTGGCAGAAAGCCCTCACACTGAGCCAGCGAGCCCTGTGTGCTGGGCACCATGCACCTCTGTGATCGGGCCACACTGTAAGTTCTATACCGTGAGCCACAGGCCCGGCTTGCAATTGAGATGTGACAATAAAAACAAATCCCTTTTTTTTCCTGCCCCGCAAGAAAAGGACTCATGCGGTGACCTCCCTCCAATTTCGGGTCCGTGGCTACAGCCCAAGGTCAGCAGGGGAAGAAGTGGTTCAATTCTTTCTGGATGCAGATACCTGCAGGTGAAGGCTGACCTCCCGACAATTCAGGGTGGGGGCTGGAGGTTCTCCCCCACCCACCCCAGGAGACCTAGGGGGTAGGGGTAGGGCAGGAGGAGGAGGGAGAGGTCAAGAGAAGCTGACATGGGACCCAGGGTCCGATCCAAGAAACCTGCACAAAGCAGAGAAGACCCAGAGGAGGGGAGGCAGGCCCTCGTCCTGGGTCCCTAAAGGTTCATCCTTGCTTCCAGGTGACGGTGGGAGAGCCCTGGGCTGGCCCAAAGGGTGGCTTGTCTGGATGGGAGGCGTCAGCTGACAAGAAGGGCAAAATGGTGCCATCCCGAATAGCAGCTGGACACCGGGATGGCAGGGGCTAGTGGAATGCATGTAAAACGCGTCAGAGAAACAAGGTGGGAACTAGTTACAGATGTTTCCAGATGTCCATTTAGGGAGGGTTAGTCCTCTGGGCCCTGGTAGTCAAGAGCATTGGAAAAGCCGGGTAGGAAGGCCTTTTGGGAACTGGTATCAGTGGCCCTGGGTTCTTCTGGGCCGGGGTCTTAGGAAGCATGTTGGCCCTGTCGCTTCCTTGGGTGGGCAGTTGGCACGATGCTCAGAGCACAGCAAAGGGGGCGGAGGGAGTGGGGGAGAGCCCTGGGTGTCTGGTTCTGTTCAGGTCTCAGCTCAGGTGTGTGTGGTGTCTCAGGCCTCCGTCTCCCTGCTGGATAAGGTAGTGGCCAGACCAGCATGGCTAGGCAGTCCCCAGGGAGTAGAGAAGGGCTGGGTGCGGAACCTGGGGTCCTTTCTTCATGCCCAGCTGACCCTACTTCTCCTCTGCCCAGGGACAAAGTCCCTTCAGTGGTTAGGGCTTTGGGAACATGGGACGTAGGGTCCAGAGTCCCTCTGCCCCCTTCACTCTGGACACCCAGCCTGCTCCCAGCATCCTCCATGCAGGCTACCCCTGGGAGGCTGGGAAGGAAGACCTTGGTCCATTGAGGGCAAGGCATCAGGTGGGCACAGCAGGCAAGGCGAAGGGGCACTGACTTGGTGGGGAGGTCCCTGGGGACTGGCGCCAGGCAGAGCAGAAACAGGCTGAGCGCCCACACACCCCTCCTCCTCTCCCCGACTCCCTCCCACCCTGCCTCTCAAACAGGGCTTCTCCAAGGCCAAACAGGAGCACTCCTTTGCTGCCAAGCTGCCAGGCGCAACCCTGTCCCCATGCCCGTGTACCCAGGCCCCACTGAGCTCACTCCAAGGAGACAACCATGCTGGTCATGCACCATGGAGGAGGGAGGGGTGGGAGGGTCCAACTTCTGGGGCACCCTGGCTGGAGGCAAGCTGTGAACAGCCCCAGAAGCCCTCCTGGCTGGGCACCCACCATACTTTCCAAATGGTCAGGTGGGTGGAGGGGAAGGGGGGAGAAGAGTAGAATGAGGCAGGGGTGGGAACCGGCTCCCCAGAGAGACCAGAGCTCCAAGACGCACACGGCCGCTGGGCGACACGTCGGAACCAGGTGGGAAGGTACCACAGAGCACAGCAAGCTTGGGTCAGGGTCTCCCCAAACAAGTGTTTCCAAAGGAACAAGATTACCACCTTCCCCCACCCCCACCCCGCCACTAAGCCTGGCGCTCAGCTCCACAGCTCCAATCCATCTGCACAGACGGTGCAACTGGATTCCACCCTGCCCTGGCCCTCCACAGTGGCCCAGGGTGCTGGGGCCTCACACAGTCACCCAGGGACACACAGACCTCGGAGCCCGCCCCACCGGCTCCCATCTAGTCTCCATGCCCAGGACCCATCTGGCTGGCAACACTCCTCTCTACATTGGTCCTGGGACTCGCTGGTCAATGCTGCCACCTCGGCTGGTCTGGCTCAGGGGTCCCCAAACACCACCCCCGAGAAAGGGCACACGACTGGGGCTCAGGGAAGTCTCGGGCCCAGTGCTGTTGTGCTACGGCCGGTAGCCGGTCCTGAGCAGACAGAGGGCAGAGCAGGGAAGGAGAGGAGGCTCGGGAGCGGAGGCAGCAGCGCACCGTCCAGTCGTGCAGTGGTCACAGCCTGGAGCAGAGAGAAGAGAGAGGGGGAGGTCAGGCCAGGGCTGAGGCTGAGCTCTGCGGCTCCATGCCCTCTCCCTGTCAGCGGGGGGAGGAGGTCTTCGAGAGAGGAGCCACACACACCTGATATCTCACGTCACCCAGAGAGCAGGCCGCAAGGGAAGCACGGTGGCCATTGGGTGGATGAGAAGACTTGGGCTCAGAGAGATTGACCGTCTTGCCCAAGAGTGCACAGGCGGGAAACAGCAGGGTTAGGATTTGAACCCAGGGCTCTCCTTTGAGCCATGTGTGTCCCATGGCTTCTGGACTAGGGGTGGCCACCAAGGTGTGGCTGGCGTGAGCCCATCTGGTGCTGGAGCACCAGCCACCACAAGGCCTGCCTGAGCCTGGCCAGTCCTAGCTAGAGACACAAGAAGTGACACAGGACACAGCCTCTGAGAGCTCTGTTGCCCACAGCTCAACCAGGAAGGAGCTGGGCAGCTGCTGAGCTTGTTCTGAGACCCAGAGGAGACAAGGGGAAACTGCTAGTCCAGAGGGCAGCAAAGTGAAGGGGGCAAGATCATCGGTTGGGGGAGGGGGCTAGGTCAACCTGGGTTCCTAGAACTGTCCTGCTCCGAGCTGTGTGGCCCCAGGCAAAGTGCTCGACTTCTCTATGACTCTGTTGGCCTAGAGGGAAACCTGGGGGGCTCAGAGGACTCCGTGAGGTCAGGCAGGTGCCAGACTGGCCACTGCATCTGGCACACAGCACAGGTGCTGTTTAAGTCAGACCAAATTTGACAGAGGGAGTGGGGGTGGTCTACAGTGAGGCTGTCCAACAGACATGTACCCTGAGTCACGCATGCAATGATAAGTTTCCTAGCAGGCACGTAACATGCAAAAGAATCGGGTAAATTAATTTAAAGTTCTCTTTATGGAACTATTAAATTATGTAGCTATCAGTTTAAGAAATAACTGAGTCTCACAGTTATTTAATATGTCCAAATTATTATGATTTCAAGATACAGTCTGTAGAATAAGGAGCCTGGTGGTGGGTTAGAATCGATCTCATAAAGCTCATGTGCTCCCTTGCACCTGGAATGAACCACATTACAGGGCCTTTCCTTAGAGCCAGCCTTGGAACTCTGGGGGGTATTTGACATGTCACTGGAGACTTGCTCCATTTCAAAGGCCCGGCAGCTACATGACTCTAGACAGCACCATCGACAGTCCCAGAGGGCGGCCCGTGGAGCAGCATCGTCGGCATCACGAAGGTGGCTCGCTGGGAGTGCAGGATCCCAGGCCTGGCCCAACCGGACAGGAGCAGAATCTGCACTCCGGGGACGTGGAGGCACCCCTGTCCACCAGGTGGTAAGGTTCTAGAGATCCCAACACCCCTGGATGCAACCCACCGAGGCAAGCTCCAGGGCCCAGGGGGACCTCAAGTTAGCTGCTTGCTCCCTTGAAACAGGCTCCACTGATACCTGGGGTCCCCTCTGGAGCATGGACAGTGGCCGCTACTTGGTTGGATAATGGCTACTGTGGTGCACTGAGCACCTGCCATGTACCAGGTGCTTCCTCACATGGGGGGAGGGGAGTCTATTGATCCTCCGTGGCCCTAGGATGAGACTGCAGCTCAGAAAGGCCAAGTGACAAGACCAAGGCCACACAGCTATGAAGCTGTGAGGTAGGGGTTCCAGTCCTCCTCTGTCCGACCGGCATTCATGCTCTTTGCAGCTGCCCTGGGGAAGGATGACTCCCCAGGGAAGAAGGCAGTCTAGCCTCCGGGCTCACCAAGTTCAACAGCAGGCTAAGGAATGGAGGGGCTTCCACCTTAGTGACCTTCCTGAGGTCTCCGGGGAAGACTGTGCTCCTGCGGTGGAGCACCTGTGCATGCAGGCGTGTGTGTGTGGGGGTGGGTGTGGGGGGGGGGGGGGGGGCTGCAGTTGTGCATCTGTGTGCAGGCATGTACAGGCATGTACTGTATGAGAGAGTGTATTCAAGCATCATGTAGTGTGATTATGCATGTGTGTGTGCACCTGTGAATCTGTCCGTGTGAATATGAATGTGTGTGTTAATGACCTCTTACTAAGAGCGCCAGGGAGTCACAACCAGAGGCTTCTTGCAGCAGTGATTGCTGGGAGCCCAAAGCTGCTGTGCTGAGATCTGCCCAAAGCCCGGCCCCGCTGAGGGGGGCCCTGGATACACCTGACTGGTGGGGCTTGGTGGGTTCAAGAAGGCACCTCCCACATGAGGCTCAGCCTCTCTGGGAAGTTCACCTGCACCCGCAAGAGACAGACAGGGAGCAGAAGCCTGGTGGGAAAGGTGGCAGGGCTAGGGGCAAAGTGGGTCGTGGCAGAGGCCAGAAGCCAGGTCAGTGAGGACAGGGAGGGCAGGAGGAAACCTACTCGGCCGACTTCCAGAAATGTCCAGGGTGAGACAGGCGGCGGTTCCGCTTCGGCAGCTTCTCCAGCATGTCCATGAGCTTGGTGAAGGTAGGTCTCTCCTCTTGGTCAAAAGCCCAGCAGAAAAGAAGAATGTCCTACGAGACACCAGCACACGGTGACTTGGACGTAAATGGAGACTTTGGGGACGATTTCTGGGGACCTCACAGGATCTTCCCACGTACCCATCCATCTGCTCTTCCTCCAGTCTTCTTCCATCATTCATCCACTCATCCAGCCTCGATTCACCCATTCACCTTTCACCCATCTAAGTGTCCACCCATCCAGCCCCCTATCCTTCCTTCTAGACATGGATTTTCTGAGTCCTTATAACAAGCTAGGAAGAACCTGTGATTGCAAACCTGGGGTACAATGAGGTTAATACTACTCCTCGAGGAGATTTGGGAGGCTTTTCTCAACAAAGGAAGGGGCAAAAGGCATCTTGAAGTTTCCCTCCATACCCTGATATTAAACGTGGACTTTGAAGGCATTATCAGTCATCTCACCTGCAAACACTCAGGTGATGGGAAACATAAGTACAGGTAACTACTCCTTTCCTGAAACATGTGTCTTCTCATCAAGAGACTATTCTGCTTCAGAAAAACGGACATAGGCTTGTCTGTGTATATCTTGCTCTGTGCTGGATAATGATTTGAAAAACTTCTGTGTTCATTTCAATCAAACTATGATTGTATTTGTGATATAATAGTAAATACCTTTTTTTAAAAAATAGCAAAAACAGGGAATTACGTGGATCCATTTCTAGGGAAAACCTAGCTGAGCGTTACTGAACCCTGGTGGTAGCTATCTGAATTGCAGGCATAAGGCAGAGGACTTGCTTTCTAAAGGGGTTGTGATGGCTGGTGTGGTGGGTTACAGGCTGGGCTGCTAGCTACCAGGTCAGCAGTTCAAAACCACCAGCCACTCCACAGGCGAGAGACGAAGCTGTCTACTCCCCAAAAGAGTTACAGTCTTGGAAGCCCGCAGGTGCAGGTCTGCCCTGTCCTGCGGGGTCACTGTGAGTTGGAGTCGACCAGATGACCGTGGCTTTGGCTTTGGCTTGCCTTCTAAGCCCCAAACCACTCTCTGACAAGGTAGCTAGCTGTGCGTGCTTCTTGGGTCACCCTCTGGAAAAGCATTTATAGGCTTACCATGCAGAAAAAGGCCCTGAACTGTATCAGCTACCCCCCACCCCCTTCCCTCTCACCCCCACCCACAGCAGAGCTGGCATGACTCACCGAGATTTCTTTGCCCATGCCAATCTGGCTGAGGTTAGGTTTCATGCCGGTGCCCATTTGCCAGATTACTGCCTCTGCTGGCTGGGTCTTGAAAGGCCACTCCCTGGCGTGGAGTTCATACCAGATTGTGCTGTTGACAGACATGGTTAGAGGGGAGTCGGTGTGGTATGTCTCTGGAGACCCCGTACCCCCTCCCCAGCACATTCTCAAGTACACTCAGTCAGCCTCTTGGATAACCATGCCACCCTGTTTCATGCATCAAGCCTTCTCCATGTCTTAGAAGCAACACTTGTGGGTACTGCTCTCTTTGGTGTCTGAGTGAAACGGAACCTAGACGGCAGCGTGAGTCTCTGACTCTGGCTTTAATTCTAGGAAGTGAGTGAAGTAAAGAATCAAGAACAGAGGGGAAAAAATTCATCTGCAAGCATGCGCTATACAACATGACATGTAATACTGAACACAGCAGGAATAATGCCGTTGCTCAATGATAGGGGTCGATCGGACACCTTATGGTAAACCCATAAAAGAAATGGCATATATTATAAGCAAGTGATATTTCAATAGAGTTGATTAAAAAAAATAAATGGTATACTATAGTACTAAAGAAATTTTGTTCATACAAAATATAATCAATGTGTACTTCCCAGTGGGATAAAAGCAGGACACAGACAATATATAAGGTTACAATGCTACTTTTTAAAACCATTGTACATATGTATGATAGAATGAAGGGAAATATAGCAAAATGCTAACTCTGGCTACCCTCGGTGGGATAGAATTGCAGGCGTTTTATCTTGGTGGTAGTGTTTTATTTTTTTTTATGGCGTGGAAAATAGAACTGGCCTTTGACTGAAAGTATGTGGTGCATGGAAGAAGCACACCAGCCTGTGTGACCACAAGGTGTAGAAGGGACCAGGTATCAGACATCAAAGAACAAAAAATCATATCAGTGGGTGCCCACCTTCCTGATACATTCACTGAAGACAAATGTGTGCATAAGCAAATGTGGTGAAGAAAGCTGATGGTGACAGGCTAGCAAAAGATATAGCATCTGGGGTCTCAAAGGCTTGAAGATAAACAAGCGGCCATCTAGCTCAGAAGCAACAAAGGCCACAAGGAAGAAGCACACCAGCCTGTGTGACCATGAGGTGTCGAAGGGATCAGGTATCAGGCATCAAAGAACAAAAAATCATATCATTGTAAATAAGGGTGAGTGCAGAGTGGAGAACCAAAGCCCATCTGTAGGCAACTGGACATCCCCTTATTGAAGGGTTGCGGGGAGGTGATGAGCCAGTCAGGTTGCAGGGTAGCAACGATGAAACATACAACTTTCCTCTACTTAAATGCTTCCTCCCCCCACTATCATGATCCCAATTCTACTTTACAAATCTGGCTAGATCAGAGGATGTAAATT